GTGTGTGTGTGTGTGTGTGTGTGTGTGTGTGTGTGTGTGTGTGTGTGCTCATAAGTGTTCCTCTGTGATTGTCCTGTTAGGCACAGAGAGACCAGGGAGAGCAGTCTGCTGGTGCTCTGTTGCTCTTTCTCAGAGTTACAAATCTGGTTTCCATACAATATATTTTGAATTTGACATAGCTTTGTTAGGTTGTGTGAAAGTTTAGACACCCACAGTTTCAATTGGATCGGTCCACCTTCCTGCACCGGGGTCCAGGTGGGATCCCAGTGGACCTGCACAGGAGCAGAATCCAGTCCGACTGAAGTCTGTCTGAGGCTGCTACATCTCACACTTTCTCCAAGGAAGAGCACGGCTCATTTCAACACAGATGTTGAAGTTCAATCAATTGTGATTTTGTCAAAAAAGGCTGTGGTTAGAAAATCAGGATTTTATTGGAACAGAGCAGACCCTCTGGAAATGTTTTAACTGGTACCCACAAACTCCTAGATGGGGTTTAAACTGAAAGATAGAATGATTACATTATTTGGAAGCGTTAGTCACACAAATGTTAGGCTTAATATTGTGGAACACTTTGTTTATGTCTATCTATGATGTGAATTAAAGAACTTCCATTTTGAATGATATAATGATAACATCACAGTTTTTTTACAGACAGGCTGAGGGGAAGTGGGATTGTGTTCTGAGCGTATTTCACTAAAATTCAGCTTCAGCAGGTTTTGAGCATTCTGTGCCAGGTAGTTTTAATGGATAGTTTCTGATGCAGCCATCCCAAAGTCTATGAGCGTGAGCAGCTTTATTTGGAATTCGGCTGGACTGAATTCCACTTTGTATGTTTTTCTTGGAAAATGCAGACAGATAGATGTGGGGTTAATTAGTTCCTTTGGCAAATATAACGCTTATATTTGAGTAATCGAACTATTTTTAGCAGTAGAAGTAATATGACAGTGTGCAGCAGCTCTGACGCAGGGCTTCTCTAGGGAGGGGATTTCTATCAGCCTGCTATCAGTCACACAGAGCTGAGGGTATGTGAAGGTGTGTCATTTATGGGCTGAATATCTTATCATCAAACAGACTTTAGCCAAACAAGTAGTGATATAGGAGATAAATCTCACATCAACTGTGAGTCATGATTTCCATTCTAGCCTGGACTTTTTTTAGTAGATCTGAAGGTCAACTAAAACTATAAATTTACTGATAATAATCAGAATATATGCTGATCCAGTCTCAATAAAGAGAATAATTTCAGTTCAGTATAATCTGTCATACAAGCTGACTTCATTCTAAACGTTTTATATCTGTAAACACAGTATATATATATATTTGTACATTTCTGCCCTGTGATGGACTGGGGACTGTCCAGGGTGACCCCGCCTCTCACGCATTGGCTACTGGGATGGGCTCCAGTCTCCAGCCACCCCGTTAGGTAATGAGGGGTAACGAAGCTGGATGGATATTTGGGCGCATACAAACAGGAAGCCCATGTAGAATTCCAGCTTTACTGGGTACACCCAACATCAGCTTACATAACAGTGTGTCAGCTGATATGAAAGGTTTTATGAGAGAAACAAACACAGATTTGTTGGGAAACAAAGTCCTTCTCGACTGGTACTACCTTTTACATACGCACACAACACACCCACAAACCTGGGTCATGTCTGTCCAGATTCCTGTCCGTGCGTCCAGGTACCAGTACTGACAGCAGAGTTTTATGACAGGGTGAATATACTGTGAGAAATGAGGCAGAGCTGAAGAAGTGAGTAACTTCAACTCATTTTACAGCCCTCTGAAGGAGCTCTGAGACATTCGCACCAATGCCTTTGACCTGCCAATCCCCTCTCAGTAATCTCTCGTGCCATTCCCTCTAAACAGATGCCAGAGCAGAAACCAGTGTCTCCTGACCCTGGGTCAGGGTAGAGCTGATCCAGAGGGTGTACAGGCCGACATGACTGCTGCACACATGCCCCTGTGCAGTGTTAGCCCTCTGTAAGGACCACAGCTAAACTTCTGCCCTACCATCTGAGATGACCTGCTGACGTTTAGCCATCTACCCACTGAAGGCAGGCAACTTGACAGAGGTGGCTTATGTTGAAGACAGAATTTGTGCTCTGTGGATGTATAATTCTACACGGCTCAGTGTGTGAAGGCAGCCCTTTGAATCTCTCTGTGTTTTTTATTACTACATTTTTTAATCAATGTATTCAAAGTCCTATTTCTCATGCTCTGCAGATACCCATCATGCACCTCTCCTCCCTCTATAGACTGCTGGGGGGTGCTCCCATCATGCACCTCTCCTCCCTCTATAGACTGCTGGAGGGGGCTCCCATCATGCACCTCTTCTTGATGGTTCCCCTGGATAAGAGCTGGGGCTGGGCTCAGGTAGGAGAGGGCCTGGAGGTGGTGTTTGTTGGGACCTGGCCCTTTCTGGAAAATGCCTGAAGGCAGAGCAGTGAGAGCTGTGTGTGTGTGTGTGTGTGTGTGTGATAAAGACACGGGGGGCTCTGCTCAGGCCTCACACACAGACATCCAGAACCTGGAGCAGGCTGCTGCCATGTGGAGGTGCTCTCAGAGAGATGGGGGGTGGAGGAGCTGTGGGCGGCTCTTGGTTGTGTCAGGGCTCTTGTTGGTCCTTTTTGGGCTGGACAAAGATCTGCTTTGTGACAGAGACAAAGCAGGTGTTCAGAACTGAGCTGGAGAATGGAAACGGCCTGAGGAGACAAGTCTACCAGACTTCTGCTGATGAGCCGTCTGTTCAGGCAGCGTTGCTGACCTGGTCCCACACCGGTCAACCTGCAGGAACTGACTTTACAGACCTGTCCCGAGACCCACCTGATTTACAGAAAGAATCTCAAACGTAGGCTTCCCATAGGATGGGCAGTTTTTCAGGTTGCAGTGATCCACTTCTTCAACTTTGTAGACTTGCCTTACTTGTAAACAGGCCTCTCATTAATGAGTGGCTGGTTTTAAAATGGGTTCCTCCTGAGCTTAGGGCGAGGCTTTTGGCATGCTGGGACACATCAACAGAGCTCGTCACTAGCTGAGCAGCTCCCCCCCCCCCCCCCCCCCCCTCCATGTCTCACCATTCCGCCAGCACACTGGAGTAGAAGTCATTCGCTACATTCTAGAGAGAAACAAAAAGGCCTCACACCTCTCTGAAAACACTCACTAATGCATTCCTAAAGTAGAGCCAGTGGTGAGTGAAAGGCTGGACAAACCTTGACTGTGGGACTACGGATGTGAATTTGGATTCAGGCCAGTTTTTAAAGCACTGCTGTGGGGTCCAAGTATCACAGACATCAAACAGACTTCCTCCAGCTTATCAGATATAAGATAAGATTACAAAAGAGTGTAACAGCAAGTAAAAATAGTAAGACAAAGCAAAAGCTACCTCCTATAGAGAGAGCAGGCCCGGGGAAAGCTGTCCACTCCAGGCCCGCCACTGGTCCAGCACAGGGGTCAGGACTTCAGACAGCGAGGAGCTCTCTGTCTCAGTGTCCTGCCGGGGTGGGGGGCCTTCTTTAACACGGATGGCAGCGTGGCCACCACCCTCCTCCACCCCCCTCCACCCTCCTCCACCCTCCTCCACCCTCCTCCACCCCCCTCCACCCGCCACCTCCAGCTGCTGGAGGCCCAGCACAGGGGGCTGGTCCAGTAGATGGCCTTATCCAGTCCCCCCATGGAACTGGCTGATGTGCCCTGGCACCCCATTGCCTCATGGCAATATAGACATTCATTTAAAAACAGTTCAATTAATCTTTCAAACACTTAATTAAACTCTATACATATTATGTTAAAATAGTGGATGTTAAATAGGTTTGTACAATAAGTCCAAACAAGTTTAACCAAAAAATATTTATTTCTCACAATTATGAAGGGTGGAGGGTTAGGGTTAGGGTTAGGGTTAGGGTTAGGGTCATTAATGCGGGCCACCAGTCACGATAACATCAGTAACAGGTCAGAATGAAAGACACAATTCAGTTAAATTTTGGGGTTTTTGTTTTTATCCTTGTGGTATCGAAAATGGTATCGAGTATCGAGTATTTTCCTGAGTATCTGTATCCAGTTGAAATTTTCTTGACAACCCTAGAGTATAATATACTACTACACTATTCTGATCATATGTATTATAATATAATTTACTTCTGAAGACCCTTTTTCTAACTCCAGATTTCCTAATATGTAAAGATTTCTAATGATTATTAACAGACGACTGGAACAAGTGGAACCTTGGATTAAAGTTCAAAGATTAGCTCACCACAGGTAATAAAGACAGAATAGCCACACACGCCTGAACTTCCTCCAGGAGGAGTCATGCTCACATGTGATTGATTGGATTTGTATTGTCACAGAGATGGATGACAGGAGCTGGACCAGAGCTGTGTGTCCGCGTGTGTTTCCAGTGAAACGTCCCAGTGGACAACCTGCTGGACATAAGCCCTCACCCTGATAACACGCTATCAGCCGGGAGTCATCCCACACATCTGCAGGGCTCCTCCTCAGTCCCTGACCACTCTGAAAGGCAGTCCGTGTCCGGGGATGATGAGGTCGGCGGTGGTCAGGGCCTGCTGGCGGTGGCCCTCCTGCAGGGCGGGGTCCAGGCTCACGTCCCTCCAGCGGTCCTGGTCAGAGCAGCACTCGAACAGGTCCCCCGCCACCAGCACCGTCCCCGCCGCCGTCCCCCGCACCTGCACGCTCACGTCCTGCCCCGAGTGGCCCGGGGTGGGCAGCACCGCCAGCTGAGGGACAGACGCGGTCAGCCTTCTGCCGGGGGTCACACCCCAGCAGTCAGGGGTCAGACCCCAGACCCCAGCAGTCAGGGGTCAGACCCCAGACCCCAGCAGCCAGTGGACAGACCCCAGACCCCAGCAGCCACTGGACAGACCCCAGCAGCCAGTGGACAGACCCCAGCAGCCAGTGGACAGACCCCACTCGTCCACTACACAGTCATCCCCTACACACTCATCCACTACACACTCATCCCCTACACACTCATCCCCTACACACTCGTCCACTACACACTCATCACTACACACTCATCCACTACACACTCATCCCCTACACACTCATCACTACACACTAAGGCTGGTGGCACCTACACACTCGTCCAGGCGGAAGGGCCGGCCGGCCGCGAGCCCGTTGGGCCGGTACGTGTCCCCCTCGCTGACGTCATATCCTACCACCGTGAGGGAGGAGGGAAACAGACTCAGGTTTCCGATGTGGTCGGAGTGGCCGTGGGTTCCGACCACCAGCTGCACGTCCCCGGGCTGGACCCCCCTGTCCCTTAATGAGCGGAGCAGGAAGTCGCGGTCCCACGGCCCGCCCGTGTCCACCAGCACGGTCCTGGGCCCGGTGATGAGCGTGATGGTCCCGTCGGCCCTGAACGTCCCCCCCGCCTGGGGGATGCAGTAGCCCACTTTCAGGACCGACACGGAGTAGGTCTCACCCGGGAAGTCCAGCTCAGTCTCTGCCACACAGAGCCGCCGGCACCGGGGGGGCCGGGCCCCCGCGTCCATCACAGCGCAGACGGTTGTTTTGGACTTCGGGGGGTCAGAAAAGGGGGGGCTGCCACCCACTGGACGGAGCGCAGAGCGCGGTGCACCAGTTAAAAGTACATCCGGTCCCGGTCAAACTAAGTAGTTCCGGTACCCAACCTTTTAGCTCCGACGTCAGGAAAAGTTTAAACTATTTTCATTTTGAACTATTTTAAGTCAATTTAAACAAATAAATTAAATGAAATACATACCTGTAAATTCCCATTCATTCAATCAATCAATCAATCACTTTATTTTGGTAAATTGTCCACATTAAACACAAGAAACAACAAAAGAAAAAAAGAAAAGAACAATAGACAAACCCACAGTTTACCAAAAAAGGAATAGGCCGAAGCAAAGCTTATTCTTGCCTACCCTATTTTTTACCTTACAACCTATAAATGTATTAAACAAAACTCGCTAAAACACCATTAAATAATCAAATTTACAACTAGATAATTAACTATATCAATTTTTAAATAATACATTGGAATACTAGAATGTAATTTTAAAGGAAACTTGGATTTACAGATACATCTAGTCTTTTCACTGTGTATGTATTGTTGTCAAACCCAGCCGGGACTTGTGGGCTTGTCCACAGACCCTGAAGTGTGATGGCTGCCCCACACAGCAGGTCAGGACAAGTCCACAGATAGTAGGTTGCAAACAGCCAGAATATGCAATCCAAATATTAAGGTTGTAATTGTTTTACGGTGGATTTCAGATGGTTTTATTCAGGCTGTCCCTGCCTGCAGGCTAAGCAGACGCCTCCATGGAAACCGTCTGATGCCACACCGGAGTGGCCCTGGCCCCCAGAGGGCCTCAGACTCCTGGGCTCTCTGAGTATCATCACATACACAGGACTGATTTCAACTGACTTGGAAAAATTCAAGCAGGTTATTTGCTAAAATTAATAACGAGAGCGACACTCCATCATCAACAGGAAGGATGCATACACATAAAACTAACCGGGAAAAAAACACAAAACATGACCTAGAAATACAAAACCAAGGAACCAGACAAAGATAGAGCTGGCGCAGAAATCATGGATGACATGACAATGACAAGGTGATGACAATTGACATTAGATAAGGATCTGGCACCAGACAAGGGGCGACGCAGACTATGAGGGCACAATCAGGAATTAGGGAAGACTGGCTGGCACCATCTCGACGTGCGTCAAAAGTGAGTCACAAAGGGGAAGAATTCAGTCAATTTCAAAATAAAACATTGCCCAGACTCGGATAAAAAATATGACCGAAATATTGCGAGGCATTCAGTCCTACTGTGCGGCCCAGTACTAAACTACCCCGGACCGGCACGGTTCCGTGGCCCAGGAACCATCCTAAGGTCCTGTGAGTTGGGGGAGCTTTATTACAGTGACACAACCTAAAGCTACGTCACAAACGTCAATGGCGGACAAAATAGAGTTGGTGAAGGGAATATCCTTTATGGATCATTTTAAAGGCTTTCTGGTGGCATATTTTATGCCAGAATCATGCTACGACGAGTTTTTTCTGAAATTTAACCTTCTGGACGGTAAGTGTCTCTCTAAGTTGGTAGTGGTCAGAATTCACAGTGTGTCTCGGGAAAGTGTGTCCCACTTCCTTCAGAGTGGTCAGTAGATCAGTAGCCCACGGACACCAGCTTTTTTGGAGTGGAAAAGCATTAATACGCCAAACCTCACACAATAACGGGAAAATGAGGTTGGACAAGCTCCCGTTGCTGTTTCTAACTTTGGATTTATCCCTCTGATTAATGAAGGATCGAAAACCAAACCAGGCACTGATATGGCACCGTGTTCCAAGACTCGGGTTCTGCCTACAAGAGGGCAGCATCTGTTAACTTTCAGTTTAATGACAGTTTAAAACATTCTCACATGGGGACATATAACTTCCAAACTGCTTATTTTTATAGCCACTAAGGTTTTCTACCTATACATATCTACAGCTTTCCATGGATTGAACTGGAATTCAGAATTGATATACACTACTCGCAAAACGTTAGGGATATCGTTAATTCAATGAGTGGCCAGGTGGTACTGCTCCTCCGTTTAGTGATATTGTGGGTTTACCCCCGTTTGAACCATCAACTTGGAATGATCTACTGATAGTAGAAATGTGGATACCCACAGAATGATGGAGTTGATACCACAGTTAAAAGGATTGAGTTTTATTCTTTTGGTGCTGACCTCAGTATGTATACAGTTAGACCATAATTAGGAAACACTAAATAAGCTGTGTCTTTCAGCCCAATTACAATTGCCTCTGTTCTAAAAATCTCTGAAATGAAAAAAACACTATGTATGAAATCAACTGGGTCTCTCACAATATCCCTAACTTATTATGAGTAGTTTACAGTGTGGTCAAACACTTTGTTTAGGACATAACTCTGCTATGGCATGGCTTTAGTCCTATTTCAAAGGGTTTTTAAAAAGTCATTAAGAGACAACCTGAATGTCTTTCTCTGAAAAAGACCATGACGGAAACAACAAGTAACACGTTTGTTTTAGGCATATTCCTGACAAAGTGTTCCCACTCAATGCTGATTCAGCAGAGCACCCTAACCCTAACCCTAACCCTAACCTTAACCCTAACCCAAACAGTAGGCTACCAGCTAACGTTCAGTGTTGTGGCTCCAGATTCTCTCAGGATTGTGCACTTGAACCCACTCATGTTGGGTTAAAGCCAGGTTCCTGCACTGCAGCCGCCATGCTCAAGCCAAACGCATGACACTGCGTCCTCCTTTCTCTGTGTTATATGTTTCCATACATGTACATACATCTATTTTTGGGGGTGTTCAGGGGCTCTCTGTGTAAACAGATGGGCCTCGGGACGCTTGAGTGCAACCAGATCAGTGGCTTCATATTTGTACCCTATTGGCTGTGTATTAGTTTTTCTACTTGACCAGTATTGCTTTCTTTTTCCATTTGAACCTAGTGCCCTGTCTGAAGGTTGTGCTGAGCAAGGCCCTGGGGATCGGCATCATACTGGGATCAGTGATGGGTAAGTCGCTTCTCCTCCCAACACGCCTTAGAACGGGCGTCAAAGGACGCCGCGCTCCTGGCCAAGCCACCAGTGTCCTGCTGTGGTCATTACACCCTGTGCTCAACTCTGTGTCACCACTGATGACAAACATTGTTACCCCAAACTCCTGACCCAGCTGACCATACAGCAGCATTTTGGCTCAGACGGTACTTTTCAGAGTTTATATGACAGCACAAGAATAAAGAATTGCAGCTCAACTTCTTTGGTATAACGTTACTTAATGGAAGCAGGTATAAAGGGACAAGAACCGGTCCAAACACAGAACCCTGAGGAACTCCATGACTGACCCAGCCGTGGGACAAAGATTCTTCATTACCATGAACAAACTGGAATCTATCAGAAACATATAGCCTATACCATGACAATACAGTTGGAGTCTTTGAAGCAGAAGGTGATGGATGGTATCAAAAGCTGCTCTGAGATCCAACAGAACCAGCACAACATGAAGTCCACTATCAGAGGCTCACAGACCGTCAGCAAAACCAGCCACAGGACACGCGTCAGTGCCTCGTACTGACCGCTGCATGCTGCCATTCACAGGGGGGGGCCCTCTAGCTGCCACTCACTCTCACCCACACAGGACACAAGTAAGCCCTATTTAGACACACAAGTCACAAAGTGATTTGGCCCCATTTCTACTGCACAACATCAGTTTTTATCCAGGCCCTTCCCATTCCAGCCTCGTCCATCAGAGAAGGTGTAAAAGCCCGGGTCCCTGTCCCACCGGTCAGAGACTCTGTGCCCTCACAGGCCAGAGGAGCCGCTGTGAGGCTCAACCAGTGAGATCAAGGACCAGTGTTCAGGAGGCAGGCTGTCTTTGTGAGACCTCATCCACAGAAAACCTCAGAAGCCAGACTGTAACGCTCACGCCTAACGCTGGCTCCCTGAGCTCTGAGGGGACAGAAGTCTCTGACCTGTTCAGGGGAACAGAAAATGCCTCCACAGTGGCTGGACACCCAGCAGGGGCAGCAGCCCCCTGTGCCCTCCAGAATCTAAAGGAGGAACGGAGCTGTGTGCTTCCACCCACTCTGCTTCTGCTCTGTTTCTAGTGAAGCTGCCCCAGATCCTAAAGCTGATGAGAGCCAAGAGTGCTGAAGGACTGAGCTTCAACTCGGTGCTGCTGGAGCTGCTGGCTATCACTGGAACAATGATCTACAGCATCACCCACAGATTCCCCTTCAGGTGTGCATGTGCACGTGCGCTGTCAGGTTGGCGTAGTCTGAGTCTGTGGTGAGGTCTGAGCTGCTGAATGTTTCCGCAGTGCCTGGGGGGAGGCCCTGTTCCTCATGCTGCAGACGCTGGCCATAGGCTTCCTCATCCAGCAGTATGGAGGAAGACTGGGCAGAGGTAAGACCTGGACACCCGCCTTTCTGCCCTCTGGGAAAGGCTGTGGTGCAGAGCGGGGGTCTGCGGGGTCACACTGTCTATGAGACAGCTTAAACCCCATTAACCCTGTGTAGAATGATAGTAGCTGACCATCATTTTGTCCCCCCCTCCAGGTCTCCTGTTTCTGGTTGTGTATTTCAGCCTGCTGGCCCTCCTCCTGTCCCCCCTCACCCCTTTGACAGTGGTCATCTCCATGCAGGCCCTCAACATGCCAGCCATCGTCATTGGCAGAGTAGGCTAACACAAAGCTAGCATCAGTGCTTCTCTGCACACTGTCAGTCTGTTGCTATGGTTACAGTGCAAATAGAAAGTGGAAGAATCCGCAGTGGAACCACACCCCTGTCCGGCTCCTGCTAACACACGGCTCCACTGTTTCAGCTGATCCAGGCGGCCACCAACTTCCACAATGGCCACACGGGCCAGCTCTCTGCCGTCTCCGTCCTCCTGCTGTTCGCTGGCTCTCTGGCTCGTATCTTCACCTCCGTCCAGGTAGGTGGGCTGGGTATGCACGGCAGTACAACGTGCCCGGCTGAAAGAGGGTCCCCGTCACATGTCCTCTAATGAATAAATACACTGCTCACCGGAATAAAGGGAACACTAAGAACACTGCTTAGAGCTGAATGAATGAAATCATCTTATTAAATACTTTCTTCTTTACATGGTTTAAGTTGCTGACCAAAAACACATTTTAAAAAATCCCCAATGGAAATGATTAACCCATGGAGGTCTGGACTTGGAGGGACACTCAAAATGAAGGCATAAAAACACACTACAGGCGGATCCAACTCTGAGGTAGT